AATGTATATCGAAATATCGGAAATGTGTTTAAAAATCATATCACCGTTATTGAAAAAAATTATATCGCGATACATATTGATATTGAATTATTGTCCAGCCCTACATGTGACTAACGGATTATTGAAAAAAAAAAAAAAAGTAGGACGGGGCCTTGGTTCTATCCATCGGTTATTGATATGATTGAGGGTCTAAGTGGACTAAATGAATGGAGAAGTCTAGCATATGTCATCAGCGAGAAGTCCGTCGTTTCACCATAAGATAGAGTTATGATATTTTAATGAAGAATTGTAAATAAATAAATAATGCATGGATGAATTGTTCACAGTAAAATCATTAAGATGCATTTAGAACAGTTTTCATTAATACATTTCTATATCATGCCGACTTCTATTTTTTCATGCCAAGTATTTTAAAAAATCTGGATTCTAAACCTGTCACTTTTCATCTTATCATCTTTCCAGAAGAGGGCAGTCAGCAGGCTTGGCTCTGTGGTGACTTCTTTAGCATTGCTGATGTCTCCCTCTCTGTCATCCTTCACCGCCTCAAGTTCCTGGGTCTGTCCCGTCGGTACTGGGGAAATGGGACCCGGGTCAACCTGGAGACGTATTATGAGCGTGTCCTGAACCGGCCGACTTTCCGCAGAGTGCTTGGACAAGTCAATAACATCCTCATATCCGCTGTGCTGCCCACCGCATTCAGGGTGGCAAAGAAAAAGGCTCCAGCCTTTGTTGGTGCCACTTTATTGATTGGCTTGATAGGGGGCGCCACTTACCTGGCTTTCAGTTATTTTAAAAGGAGACTTCTCATATCTTGAGACAGCTATTGGGACTGTCTCAACATAAGGTATGTTTATTATAACATTTGGCTCATATACACTGTAACAATTTGATGATTGTTGCACAAGAAGCACTTTTTTTGCCATAATAAGAAGCAAAGCAGAGAAACAGACACAGTGCATCTTTTCATTGATAAGGTTAATTAAACAGACTTAAATGGCTTCAATTCATGCTGTAGGTCCTTTATGGCCAATGTGTTTTGTGCTAAAATGTCGGTATTAATGTCTGGTCACAATTACAGTAGAATCAGTTACAGAAACAAAACTCTCCGATTTCCTCACATCAATTTTGTATAATCCAACATCCTTTCATATACACAATAATGTATATGTAGGATGATAATTTGTCTGTTCTGCATTAGTATCTATCAATTCAGTCATGCTTTTCACTTAATAAGTCAAAGGATATACAATACTACTGTATATGCAACAGTAATTTTCCTGCACAGAAGTCAAATATAATAAAGCATATTTCTCAGTGAAGCAAGTGTCTAATTTAAAGTAATTACAGTATAGTTTTGTGTGTGTGTGTGTGTGTGTGTGTGTGTATTTCCATATCTTTTTAGATAACAGGTATCAATCTCAGACAAGTTTGTTAAAAAGTTTGCCAGGTCTTCTGAGGTAAATGGAAAACCTACTTGAGGTTATTCCACTTTAATAAGTAAGTCACAGTTCACATGCAATATGGGAAGGAACAAATATTTTTACAAAAAACTGAGTACAGATTATCAGACTGTCAAAAGATTTGTGCCCATGAAGCCATTGCACCAATTTTTCATTATTATAATGTTATGTTTCCTTTTTGACCTAAAACCTACCACGATATTGATTTGAGAACAGCTGCAATCTGTACAGTCCAATTCGCTTATGAATCGTTCAATGTGATTTGCAAACTGATTTATCAGGTTCATTGAAAAGAATCAGGGCTGTGTTTCCCAAAAGCATCGTAGGCCCAAGTAGATTGTAGACCCATTGCCACCAATGGTCTCTATGATCAACTTAGATTATGATGCTTTTGAGAAACGCAGCCCAGCTTGTTTACAAATCAGACACCGGTATCTCCTCAAGAAAGGCCACATGCAGAGCTTTGCCAAAACGCATTTTGAAGATTCTGAGGCAGATGAGGCTAAAATTTAATTATTTGGCCTGAACACCAAACGATATGTCTGGCGGAAATCCAATACAGCTCACCATCCAAATAACAGCATTCCTCCAGTAAAGCATGGAGGTGATAATATCCTGTTATGGGGGTGTTTCTCTGCAGCAGGGACTGGAGCACTTGTCAGGATAGAAGGAAAAATGGATGGGGCAAAATGCCGTCAAAAATCTGCTGGCCTCTGCCAGAAAATTGTCAATGGGAGGAAGGTTTACCTTCCAACATGACAATGATTCCAAAGCACACATTTTTGTACGTTTAAGATATTTTCTGACATAGTAAAATCGCTTTGCTAAAATAGCTTTTCTTTTTTGCTTAGAAAATTGGGTCTAAAACTCCTTATTTAATTAGTTGGTTTAATTTTATTTTTTAACATTTTTACACCTTTTGTTTTTCTAAACTTTTCCACAGACCCCTGGGTCCCCAGTTTGAAAACCACTGGCCTATAGGAACATTTTATCTAATAACATCAATTAGAATACAAACTAAATCAACCTATATACTTTAAATAACTAGTTTAATATATCAGTCACCATCAAATTTAACTGAACTTGAGCAGTTCTGCAAAGAAGAGGGCAAATATCACAAAGTCTAGATGTGCAAAGTTAATGGAGATATATCCCAACAGACTAAAGGCTGGAATTAAAGCAAAAGGTGGTTCAACAAACTTGCCACAACTTTCCACAACTTGAACGTAAGGTCACAAAAAGTTATGAATGAACCACTAATTTAAAAATCTTCCCTGTCTACTGGCATTTGACATTTGTTATTTCAAAAAAATAAAGATTTATTTTTAAATAATCTATTGTAATTGTTCCAAATTAGGTACCTATGGGGGAAAAAAGTTAAGTTTGTACAGTAGGGACCACGCCAGCAATATTTGTTTATGAAAGCAGGATAAGCTCAAAGGAATTTTATCAATCTTATAATTGCAAATCAAGAAAAACCTAAGACCACCTAATTTTGAAAAAAAAAAAAAAAAAATGGGTATAAGACTCCATAAAGAAGTTGGGTTTAGAATGAAATGTCTAATCCAATTAATTTTCCAATTAATACAGAAAGCAAGGAAGTTCAATCCATCTGATTCATAAATATTCATTATTGTAGATTTCCTAATGTAATGTGTTTTGTTCCTCCAAAGAAAACTAAGCAAAGCCGTATGAACAGCTTTACACATCTTCTTAGAAACACAGAGTGAAGTAGCAGCGTAGACTAAACTTGACAGTCCCTCTGCTTTACACAATAAAACTCAACCTTTTAGGGATAAATCCCTTAAAATCCAGTGATTCAATTTTGTCTTGGTCCTCTGAAGAATAGGATCAAAAAGAAGTAAGGGGAAATGGGACAACCTTGTCTAACACCACGTTTTAAATAAAACCTAGAAGATGAACCCCCTTTATGTTTAACAGAACAATTGGCATTATTGTTTGTATAGCTTTACAGAATAAATCTCCAAACCCAAATATTTGTAATGACCTAAAAATAAAAGCATGCTCCAGTGAATTGAAGGCTTTATACAAATCTAAGAAAAGAACAAATCCATCATCAATACATAAATGTGAGTAATACAATTTTTTGAAAATATGCCTTTTCTTTAAGAAGGCAGATTGGGCCTCATCTATAAGGGGGTCCATAATTGACTTGATTCTGTTTGCAAAGATCAGGCCAAAAATCTTATAATCATTGTTTAATAGTGAAATAGGTCCCCCGTTATCTAAAAGCAATGGCTCTTTTTTTTTTTGGAATCAGTGTTAATCCCTGAGTTAATGTGGAAGAGCTTGATTTTCTATCCTCTCTATATAAACCTCTTTAAGAAAGGGAGTGATAAGGTTTTATAAAATTCAGCTGTGAGGCCGGTGACCCCAGGAGATTTATTAACCTTAATATGTGCAATAGCATGTAAGACCTCCTCAATAGTAAACTGAACTATCACAGAGCTCTTTTTGCACGGGGTCAATGGTCTTACAAGTGAAACCAGAGATAGAGTTCAAAAATTCAGATGCAGACTGTTCACAGAATTTGGATGAATATAAACTACTGTAAAAGTTGTAATATTTTGTGATATTTTGGCGCATAAGGTCTATAATAGAGAACTGGATTGTTCATGGCATCATAAAAAGTGAAGCCTCCGTGCCGCCATATTGCTATTCCCTAATATTCCCATACATTCTTTTGAGTTAATAGGAAATTGTAAGTTTTTAAGGAGAATACGTCAACAAACGTGTCAGTGTTTTGAAATCTTAAGTCTCACTGTACATTCTTACAATGCAAACGTCCTAAGCATGTAAATGGTTATTTGTTTAATGTCGGGAAATCCCCTGCTTATTAGGGCTCCAAGCACCAAAGGTGTCGAAACCCAATTGTATTTGTACTGATTTTCTTCTTCTTCTTTTTCTGCCCTAAAATTGTCTGGCCAGCCAAAAGCGTAAGTCCTAGAAACACCAAATTTGGCAGGATGGTCCCATATTCAAGATGCATGTGTATTTTTGTCTGATCTTTGACGCGATCGCGCAGCAGTGCAAAGTTGATTCTGTGCTTACTTGATCTAATATTTTGTTTTTAAAAATTTTGTAGATTTAAGTAGCAAATGAGAATCGCTAAAATTAATGCATACTGTATATCTTGAGAGAAAGGTCTTCTTTGTGATTTTCAGTTTTGTTTTAGATAATTAAAGCAACAGTTTTTAAATAACGAAAGAATATGTAAAAGTATGGTATTTGGGGTAAAAAGCGCCCCTGCTGTTGGGGCTAAAGGCGCAGTAATTAACATGATAATTAATAGATGGCTGACTTTTCCATTTGTTGACATGACATGGTTAGATTCAGATGGTAAATATCATATATTATGTTGGGTGTCCATATTAGAGATAATCACCATGTTTAGAATGAAACCATCATATTGATATTAATCATATCATATAATAAAATATAATTTGTTTTTACTACTGTAAATATATATTCAATTATTATTGGATCTCCTTCAATACTTTCAGAATCTTTACTTATTAAAACGATTTTGTTTCTGTATATTAAAATATATATTTTTTATATTAACATATTTTAATGACAGTATATTTATTGAAGAAAAAAAATTCTTTTATTTTTCAAAATAAGCAGAAAATAGTACAAACTTTGCTAAAGTGATTGTTTTGAACAAGTATTAACTTAGACATTATTAAAAAAAAACATTATTTTAGCTGAAGTATTTGTATCAATACCGTGTGCCTTTTACCCCGTGTGTGGGGTAAAAGGGCCCTTTTGCCACCTCATACATTTATAAGTTTTTAACACAAAATAAAAAACTTGAATGATTTATTTTCACACAAAATCTGTTGCTCCATTAATGTTCAATACAACGTATATATTTTTTCTGCAATTATACATTTTAGGCGCAGTGAATGGCACATTTTTTTTAAGGTGGGCCATTAGCCCCGTTGTACCCTATAGTGTAATATAATAACAGAGGCTTGTTGTTTTGTAATATTTATTATTCAAATCAATTTCTGATATAACATAATGCATAAGTATAATTATAACATAATGCATAATTACGTTGGCTACATAAATATTTTGTGCAGGATTAATTACTGTGTCAGCAGTGTGCAGCACACACCAACCTTAATGATTTTAATATTTCGCTTATCCTGCCCGACAAGACCATAAACATTACAGATAACATCTGGAATGCCAATAAATTTAAATACACATATCCTAAAAACGAATCCTGTGCGACTGATATTTAGGTCAAGGTTTTGGCTGTCAGTGCCCTCTGCCGGTAGGGAACAGCAATATGGTCGCTGGCTTGTTGTTTTTATTATATAACACTATAGACTGCATTTTTTATTTTTTCAGGCAGACTTTCTGTGGAAGAAATAGCCCTGATTTCATGTGATATGCTGGGATGTTTCAATTTCACTGATGCTGCCAACAAAATATCTCAGCAACGCTAAAAACCTTCCCAAAACAATGACATAGACTATGATGCAGTCCTGAAGTTTCATATTTTTGAATTAAATTAGTTTGAACTGTTGTTGAACTGAAAAGCTTTGTATCAGAATGTTAAACAGAACTATGAAAGATTATTTTGGTATTTCTATATTTTTTATGTTTAAGGTAGATTTTCTGACATAGTAATAGAAAATCGGGTCTAAAACTATTATTTAGTTAGTTTAATTTTTTTATATACTTCATTTAAACATATTTTTACACCTTTTGTTTTTCTAAACTTTTCCACAGACCCCTGGGTCCCCAGTTTGAAAACCACTGGCCTATAGGAATATTTTATTTAATAACATCAA